GAATGTAACTCCTTCAGCTTTTATAACGGCGATATCTTGGGAATGGTGATTCTTAAGAAAAAAGGACCATTTTTGTAGACAATTTTATGGTCTACAATGTTTGTCTGTAGGACTATATTTTTGATAAAACTTACTGTTTTCGAGAAAAATCCAAAAAAACAAAAATTTTGACTTTTGACCTTGAATAACATTTTTAGCACACGTGGGATCTATGGGGACTTTTGCCCCTTTATTTCTACTGGTGAACCTAAGGTTTCTACCAAAATTCAGCTCTGTCGGAGTTTTTGTTATTTGAAATGTCTATTATGACCGGACTAAAGTGGAATAACAGAAATTGCATAATCGTAGCATCATAAAAATTTTCACAAATGTTCTGGAGGCAATTCAGGACAAAATGAAGAGACTAATTCGAAATTACCACTTTCTAGATCTCCAAAACAGGAGAGGGTTTATGCCCTCTTTTTTAATATTATGTTCTGTACTGTCTTATAAGGAACATTTGTCTAAAGTTTTATTTTCTACCGCCCACGTTTTTTGGTTTTCTAATAGAGCTATTAACGCACGCAAATGACGTCACAGCAGTTCGTTAATAGCGGAAAGGCGTTCTTTAATAGATCTGGTGTAATTTAGATCGGTAAGATTGGTAGCAGTGACGAGAAATGTCAGGTGAATGTCAGTGGCAAATCTAAACTTAAAATTTCCCACGTTTCCGGACGCGTAACTTCTTCGCAAGACATTTTAACCAATTTTAAATTACAAAAACTCGAATTGATTCGAATTACAATTGTTGTTGTGAAAATTCGAACCTCAAATATTTCGTGGTTAGTGTCAGACCAACTCATCACCAACCACGGCAAAAGCCCCCAGATTAAAAAAAATGCAAATTTCAATTAAATTTTGGGAAAAAACGTGTGCGGTAGAAAAAATAGTATAAATAACTCGTTCATAAGGCCATTGAGGCACTCATCCTTTATATAACTCGCGGCTTCGCCGCTCGTTCTATAAACTTGGATTCGTGCCTCAATATTTGCCTTATGAAACTCGTTCTTTAATATACTATTATATTATCACACTGCGATGATGCAGTCGTTACTTTCATGACGCCTGATTTGAGATATACCACTTTCTGGATTTCCAACAAGAAAGGAAAAACTCTCATTTTTTAGATTTTTTATCCTTAATTGCCTCGACAATATTTATATAAAGTTTTATAATATTCCGCTAATGCACTCGTTACTATCAGGACGACTAACTTCTGATATATCACAAAAGAGGGCGAATTTTCAATTTTTTTATAATTTCTGCTTAATTGTTTCATGATGCTGCGAATGTGCACTCATTATTTTCTAAGACCCTAATTCAAAATTACCACTCTCTGGATCCCCAAAACAAGAGAGGGCGAATTCTAAGTTTTTTAATATTTTGTTCTGCATTGCCGCGGGAATATTTCTGTGAAGTTTTATCGCTCTGCGATTTTGCAGTTTTTACTTTCCGGACGGTTAATTTTTGATAAACCACTATCTGAATCTCCAATAGAAGAGAAGGAGAATTCTCAATTTTTTCGAATTTTGTTCTAAATTGCATGAGAAAGATTTGTGTAATGTTTTATGATGCTACAATTATCCAGAGCTCACTTTCAGGTTAGCTAATTATTGATATAGGTACCGCTCTCTGGATCTCCAAAGTGAGTCCTCAATTTTGTAATAAGCTAATAAGTTGTTCTTAGTTATTTTGGCAACGTTTTTGCAAAGTTGCAAAATTTCGTTTTTAAAATTATCCCTTTCTCAATCTAGTGAACAACTAGAAAAAATGTGTATAACTTATGTTTTAGAATTATTTTAGACATTCAACTAATCAACTCGAATGATAAAATATAGTCGACGCACAATGAAAAAAACTACTTGGTAGTTCATTTTCGTATATACCCACAATGTAATTATAGATTTTGAACATGGATTTTAGTAATTTATTTTAGTAGACATTATGTCACTTAACATTCTGACATATCAAATCACGTTGAGTTTAACGTTGTTAAGATTGTTTTCAAGAACACAAAAGAAAAGATATTACGTACAAGCTCACTCACTGCTCAATCCTAACTGACGGTGATTATCGGCAATAATTACACAGTCGAACAATTTTAGAAAAAATTCTTGTTACAAACATTCTGAAAATGTATTCTGAAAGGTTATTTTGTGGAGAATAACTATCTAATAAGACATTATGCCTACGTCGTCAAAAACTTTTTTGTTCATAGACAGTTCCAGTTAAAGGTGTACTATTGCATAATGGGAATAAATATGTAGTATTGCCGACTGCATACTCCATACAAACTGCAGAAACATATGAGAATATTTAACACTTGTTAAACTGTATTAACGACAAAAAGTTTGAGTGCAATTTGATAGACGATTTAAAAATTGTAGCTTTAGTAACTGGCTTCCTATCTGGATACACCAAGTATATGTGCTTTTTATGGAACTGAAATACAGGAGAGAAAGCATTTCAACATCTGAAAACAATATTTCCTAAGCTTTCTGCTGCTAACATAAACCTAGGTAAAAACTAAAATATTACAGTGAATTTCAGTTTTCATATTATGTACGTTTTCTATATTTAGGAATTTTCATTGGACCTGAAATTCGAATGAAGTATCAAATGTTCTACGCCTATTTGAATGATACGGAAAAAATTGGAATCAATTAGCTTAGTGATCAGTGAATCTTTAGGAAACAAATGTTCCACAAATTATGTCTCATTTAAATTTCTTTGCTGATAATTTTTCATCGAGAAATCAAGAAAGTCGAAGAAAGATTTAAGAGAAAGACCCAAGTATCCATTCTTTCCGAATACATGAGGCTTTGATAAAGAGTTAGATCCTTCTACATATTCTAGGCAGGTTAAATGTTCGTAGACGTAATTACATATCTGTCGACAGAAATCCGTGGAACATTTTTTTAGTGCTTCTTGCGCGTTTTTCTATGTAAAATTAGAATTTACTTCATTTTTACTAATGGTTCACCGGACGACAATAAAAATTTGAATAATTTTTTTTGGACGACGGGTATATTATCTCTTTTAAGAGTTGTTCAGCACAAAATTACCTTTCCGACCATGTTTAGAAAATATATGTAACAAAAACACTGTTCTACTATGTTATCATTAATCCAAACTGTTGGCGGGAAAATATATCTTATCTGTGACTAATAACCTAAAAAAGGTGAAATTACTAGTATTCCATTACAATATAGAAGTAATTTTTTTCTTGGTTTTTTCATTGTGGGTTGACTTTATCAGGACTAATTTTTTGACGTACGTTTAGTTATTGAAAAAAACATTTGGTATTGAGTAGTCTAGCGTCACGAACAGAAAATGCTGGACCGGTCAACGGCATTCCATTGTAACAAAGTGTAAAACACCTTTAAGTATTGTAACTTTTTTTTGCATTTTTGTCACGGCGAGTATACTGGCACTGGATGCGACAAGATAATTCTTTTAAACTTCAAATGTCGAAGTGGCAATAAGGAATAGACTACATCAAAATTTTCAAAATGACAAAAAAATATTTTTATACTCACTTTTTCCCATTATTTCACTAATTTTTTAACAATATCATTGTAAAAATATCAAATGATCAACCGAGTGATTAAATGGTGTCTTAGGTACTTCATAATTATCTTAAGTCACAGTGTCGGTTAAGAAGATTTTTATTGTTTTGATTTTTTGCGTGACTTGATAATTTAGATACATATTTGGCATCAAAAAAAAAGCTATTTTAAAATTGTAACATAGTTGTTTGTCATATACTTCTTTATAAATATGTACTTAATTACTTTATTATAATAGATATAAAGTCTACTACATTTATGATTATCGCGAAGAATATCGCGACAGTCATTTTTGTGAGAAAGAGCAAGTGTTTATGTTACGTTGCCGTGACAATGGGCCGTATGAATAAAAAGAAGCAGTTGCTCGTGAGCATGAGTACGAAGTATGAGCACATGCTTAGAGTAAAAAGTACGAGTATGAGCACATACTTCAATCAGTATGAATAAACTAAACCTTTTACTTAAGAGCATTTGCTTCTTACTCTGGAGCAAACGCTCATATTCGTTATCATTATAAAAACACCCATCGATAGCTTATTTCCTATAAGAACGACGACCATGAAGAGATTATTTAAAAAACCACAATTCGCTATCCATGATTTTCATTTAGTTCGGTTATAATCAGTGCATTGTACAGATGAGTTCGTCAAGTGGCTGTGAATCGCCGGGGTCCGGTGCTGGGAAAACTGCAAATTCCCAATTATTTATAGTCCGAGAAATCGAAAAACGACCTGAATTACTATCAAAATCTCAGTTACCAAATGAAAAAGCAAAAAAAGAAAAATCCTTACTGGAGGTGGTGGAATTGTATGAAGTCCACTTAGGGCTTCGCATCAGCCAACAACAGTTGAAGAAAAAAATTAACAATATGAAATCGCGGCTCAAGAAGAAGACCGACAAATAGAAGACCGGAAACAAACGCATTACTTTACATGAGTGGGAGAAGATCTTGTATAAGATACTTGAAGGAGATGATAATCCAACAATCAACAAAATTCCGGGTAGGTACCTATCGCATCTGTGTTTAATACACATAATATACCCTTTTACATAATAAACTCTATAATTCTATAAAATAACACTTTTTGTAGAACCTGCTGTAGCAGGTATGGCGAAAAGGGCACAAGAATGTGAGCCCAAACACAGAGAGGAAAAGAACTGTGAAAAGAGTAGACGTTCTCCCGAGCCCAAGAAGTCAAAACTTTACAACTACGAGACTGAGGAAACACACAGTTTAACCACAACGGAACTACAAAGACTTGTGTTGTTGGAGCAACTAAAAACCGCAAGGATGCAAAGAGAGTATATTTTGAAGAACATGGAACGACTGGAATAAACTGACAGTGATAATATGTGTATTATACCAAATAAACGATATTTAACAATGCATATTCAACTCTTTTTGTTTGTTTTAATTAAGAAACGTCTTCTAATAAAGGTGACGTCTTGGGCGTTGCAAGTCGCTTGTACATTGATACTGGGCCATCCTTTTCTATTGATATATTCATCCCCATGACGACCTGGTTTTTCAATTCTAATATGGATACAATCAATGACCCCAATGACCCCCGGAAAGTGATTGACATTTTGCCAGTCTTCTAAAGCCTGCAAAATATTTTGTTCAGTGTGAGGAAATTTGATCCATGATGAAACTTTTGCTGTGATCCTTGTTGTGACAAATGTAACTACTTTTGATACTGTCGACTGATGAACGCCTAATTCTTCTGCTATTCCTGACTGAAAACCGGAATTGGCCAAACACCTCAAAAAAATTTTCATTTTCATTTTTGGCGACAAAGCACCTCCCCTGGTTTCAGTACAATCATTTAAAAAGTAATCTGCTAACCAAGTAACATTTTCTGCAGAAAATCTGCAATACGTGCTATTAATCGTAATATACTTATAATGACAAATGTTCTACGCTTACCTGTACAAGGTTTTATAGTCACCTATGTTGGTTTCCCTACGCTCCTTATAATGTTTAGTTTTTCGTAGAACAACCATGTCTGCCATTTTCCGAAATACTGTTCCACTCAACAGAAGTTGCGTCTCCTTTATAGCAGACGCATCAATTTGTGAGCAAGTGCTCCATAATGTAAGTAAACGCTCTCTTTTATTCATATCATTTGCTCAAGTGTAAGCAGCTACTTCAAATTTAGAGCACTTGCTCAAGCTCCAACACCAAAGTATGAGCAAAACCGTTTGCTCACTGTTTTATTCATATATAGCGAAGGATATGCTCCAAAAACAACGAGTACGAGCAAATGCTCACTTTTAATCATACGGCCCAATGTTCATGACCAAACAACGATTATTAAAAAAAGAAAAATAACTCGTAAGTATTTTCAAAGATTTTTTATCAACACTGTACAATTTATACTTTAAACTGTCTTAGAGCCGGGACTAATTTTAGTACTAAATTGTACGCGAGAAATTACAACCAGTTCTAAATTCTTGTATACAAGCAATTTAGTACGAAAATTGGTTCCGTGTCAAACGGCTCTTAGAGATAAGTCACTCTTGAACAAGCTGAACTCAACTCTTGTAGCCATTCCGGATAGTACCTATACACAAAAAGGACGGCAGTCTGACAAAGAGGCAAGAGGTTAGTGAAGGAAGCTTGGAAGGGTACAGAGGTAGGGAGTACAATCGACGGAGAGGAAACAGAAACAAGGAAGTTGGAAGGGGTGATGAAATGGCAGGGGTGCAACAAGGGATATATACAGGAATAGAGAAGGTTACAAGGGCAGGGGAGGAAATAGAGGCAGGAGAGAATACTTAGATCGGGAGCAAAGTAGAACCGCAGCGACAAATGAAATGAGGGTGTACGCTAGCACATTTAACGTTACTGTATACCACCATTTTTAAAGAAGATTTTTAATTCTGCTTTTTCTGTGTGTGTTTAATTTGTGTTGTGTTATTTTGCATTATTAAATAAGTACATTGAAATCAAACTAATTTTACTTCCCGAGCGTAAGCAAAGGAAGTATTGTAATCGAGTCCGTCGGCCGACTCTCTACTTTTACGTTTTCTCGATCTTTCATGACCCCTAGAAGACGAAGAAATAGGTCTCCCATTTCCGTCTGTCTGTCCGTCTGTCCGTCTGTCCGTCTGTCCGTCTGTCCGTCCGTCTGTCCGTCTGTCCGTCTGTCCGTCTGTTGTCCCGGATTTTTATTAGACAGATAATCTCCGAAAGTACTCGACCGATTGTTGTGAAATTTTGTACTTATATTAAGAATATCATGTAGATGGTAAAACGCTAACCAAAATTTGTCTAATCATCCCCACCACTAATGCGATGACGTCACTTCAAAATTGTACATAGTAAATGGGTTTTCAATTGTATAAAATAACATAGTCCTACACATATAGTTTACAACTCTGAATCGACTTTTCACCCGAAACGTCCAGATTTTTGGAAAAAAAATCAAAATTATAAAACAACATTTTGAAATTTAATTTTTAATCTGCTAACCAGAATGCTTTGAAATGTTGCAGATGTTTTAAGGCTATAAAGAGCATCATAAATCTTTAGTCAAAAAATATTTGCTTATCCCCTCCAAAAACTTGATGACGTCAGCTCAAAAGTTTGTGGAATAAATCATATCTAAAATGTACAAAATATGATGAGTCTGTACTTGTGATCTATCACTCCATTCATATTTTTTGGATTTGCATATACAGGGTGACTCAAAAAAATTAATGAATGCGTAAATATATTTTATTGATTTAATCAGGAACTACAAAACCGAATGCTCTGAAATCTTGCAGATGTTTTAAGGTTATAAAGAGCATAATAAATGTTTAGTCAAAATATATTTGCTTATCCCCTCCAAAAACTTGATGACGTCAGCTCCAAAGTTTGCCGAATAAATCATATCTAAAATGTACAAAATATGGTCAGTCTCTTCTTGTGATTTATTATTCCATTCAAATTTTTTCGATTTGCATATACAGGGCGACTCAAAAAAATTAATGAATGCGTAAATTTATTTTATTGATTTACTCAGGAACTACCAAACCGAATGCTTTGAAATCTTGAAGATGTTTTAAAGTTATCATAAGCATGGTAAGTTTTTGATCAAAATGTATTTACTCATCCTTCCTAAAAAATTTATGACGTCACCACAAAATTTTGCTGAATAAATCCTATCTAAAATGTACAAAATATGATGAATCTCTTCTTGTGATTTATCATTCCATTCATATTTTTTGGATTTGCATATACAGGGTGACCCAAAAAAATTAATGAATGCGTAAATGTATTTTATTGATTTAATCAGGAACTACAGAACCGAATGTTTTGAAATGTTGCAGATGTTTTAAGGTTATAAAGAGCATAATAAATTTTTAGTCAAAATATATTTGGTTATCTTCTCCAAAAAACTGATGACGTCGGCTCAAAAGTTTGCCGAATAAATCCTATCTAGAATATACAAAATGCGATGAGTCTCTTCTTGTAATTTATCATTCCATTAATATTTTTTGAATTTGCATATACTGGGTGACTCAAAAAACTAATGAATGCGTAAATTTATTTACTGGTTTACTCAGGAACTACAAAATCGAATGCTTTGAAATCTACTGCGAAAAAAAAAAACATAATAGGCATGCAGTCGTCACGTTTCCGACAGCGAGGGAAGTACTGTCTAAACTCTTTAGACCAATTTTTTTATTATTGTACTTAATTAACTCGGAATTACCGATTTTAACGACACTGAACCATGAGAATAGTCGTTTTTCTCAGGTAAATCTTTAATAGGGGAGAAAAACACGATATGAATACATCTGTGGGATTATGGCAATACGGAACACATCTATTTCAAAAATATAACTATCTTTCTGGAAACATTAATTGTAAAACTAACTATTAATAGAAAATAATTATGTATTTGACGTAAAGAAAAATTGAAGTATTTTATCTACCGTTGTTAAAGTGTTATTTTATGTACCCTTGCAGTTTTGAATAGAATAAAGCACTCTTTAACGTTTGTTACAGAAAAAAACCTTCTTAGGCTTAATTCTTGTTTTAGAGAGTGTAGATTTGAACTATTTAAATGTGTAAAAGAATGCAAAATTTTTACATCACAGAAAAGGAATGAAGTATTATGTTTTGTAAAAAAAGCATAATTATTATGTCATTTCATTATTTATAATGAAATACAAACACTGGTTTTTTGTATGGAAAGATTGTGTCGAAGATGGCAAATATATATGTATGTATATATCTTATTATTATGTACCATACTTTAAATAAAACACGATCAAAAACAGGCATGGACTTTTGACTGTTTGTCTGTAATCCTTGCATTTGCAATTCAAGCATTTAAATTGATGGTAATGTGTTGAATATTCTACTAAAAACAAATCTTCAAAAATCCTGGCTATCTTTGATTGTTTTATTGCTCTCTTGGTACTTTAAAATCTTAGTTAATCAGTACCACGATAAAGTAAATTCTTACAAATAAAAGTCATATGGTGGGTATAAAATATTGGATTTTTGCTACTGACTGTAGGTTTTAATACTGGAGTAAAAAATATATTTCAAGATTGTGGCGTTGCATGATCCGGCTCGAAGGACCAAAATGTAGCATCGCGCCGTGATTCGTGACTCAAAAGAACAAAATGTTGCGCCGTGATTCGACTCCTAGGACCAAATGTAGCTTCACGCCATCGTAATCGTAAATAAAAGAGTGGATTTTCTTATCATAATCACTACATTAATAATAAGTATGTAAACACAAGTCACAAATATATATTTGAATCGTCGCGTCCATATCGCTGTCGCGTACGATACCCTTTCCAATCATGCCTGTCCTGTATACTGGAGATAGCGCCCTCCATCCAGTAGGTGGTCGGGTGGGGTGAGTACCTTGAGCGTAAAGTCCCTATATATATATATGTTAACAAATACAAGAAATAAATGAATCTTTGTCAGAATAAACCATATTCAAAACAAATGAGCTTGGTTGAAGTAAAAAAGCAACAGTGTTAAAACTTTACCAGAAGATGTTAATGAAAAAGTGTCAATAACGGCAATCAAGGGGGGCAACTCAGGTTTGTATTGTTTCTTGTTGTTTTAACACCACTTACTAGGCATATCAGTAATAATAAGATCTTTAAATTCCTGTATTTTCAAGCAGTCTAAAAACTGTTGAAAAGCCTGAAGGAATTCTTCTGGGTTCTATACATTTATTAAATTAACTTTCAATATTATCTTTTTGGGGTTCACGAATGAATTTAATCCTCAAATTAAAACCCAAATATCGAGTACAGCTTATCGCACCGCACTTTTTTTCATTTCATCACCATTACATGCAGATATTTTAACATTGCAGAATATTATGCTATTTTCTTGTGAATTAAAATCACGAAACAGTCTGTACATGCTCTATTTTCTAATTTAAATAACCCTTCCCAACTGCTAGTATCTATTCTAAAAATTTGTTGTTTTTTTTCCTGGGCCGAAAACTAGGCCTTATCGTATAGGGTCCTTTGAAGAAGATAAAATTGAGTCGGATTTTTTTTTTTAATTTTAGATAATAGCACAGAGTTTTTGAAAAACAATAAAAAGAGAGAAAATGGATGTGTTAGAGTAAGTTTGTAACTTTCCAATATAGAGTTTGCTATACAAACAGACAAATCGCCACATTTTGGAAAGGTTTTACGAAAATTAAAAAATATTTTCGAAAGCAAGATCATTCAAAATTTCCAGCTGTTAATATTTGTTTTTTCACTGAAACCTAAAGCTGAAATGAATTTTAAAAATTTTCCATTAGGTGGGATTTTTGTTTCGTTAGGTTATAAAGTTAGTCCTAATTATGCGAGTCTCTTTTTTCAGTTTTAGCCTAATTTCTTTACCGCCACGCTAAAAACATGTTGCTGTTTAAATAATAATCTTTAATCCTAGAAAGTTACTTTAGATTTGTGTTTCAGGTTCTGTGGCTTACTTGTGGCTGAAAGACGTCAAACGGGTATCATTTTCGCTTACGTCAGCACAGA